ATAGCAATGACGTAGCAATCATTGAAGGAAGTTCAGGGGATTCTGAAACCTGACTACGAGATATTGAAATTACAGCGTCCCAAACTGGGAAAGACTTGTTGGTGTCTCTGGACGATTACCATGGAATAGACCCCTATATAATCCATTTAAAGGAAAGAATCGATGTTTTTGCCAAGTTTGTAAAACTACCCACTTTAACAATCGATCGCCGTTAAGTGGCTAAGCCAATCATGATGAATTCAAAAGCATTCTACGCAGAATTTTATGTTCATCAAACTTATAACGGGTATATTTTTCTGTATCATGTATCATTTAGGAGGTGTAAGCCGTAACCTTAACAAAAAATCAACCTTTTAGCCATGTTGGTGAAAGTAGTCGAACTTTGAAAAGCTACAGCGGCTAAACGGCTCGGTCGATTCTGACATATTTAACACCGGTCGACACATAATTTGGTGCTTAAAGAAACAACCGAACAATAATTTCTGTAGGCTTCGTCATTTAAGAATTATAAGCGAAAAACTTAAAAAAAGTGCAAAGTTTTCATAGTTTATCTATTCCCAGAACCTAAGCAGACGTCAGAATCCGTCGCAAACTCACAGGAATCTTATTTAGGACCCCCAAAACGTATTAAAACACTTTCCAGCTTTCAAAGATTTTTCGGGAAGCACGACTTATTTTTGGTCTAATTTGCATGGACTATGACGAAATGCTTATTATCACCACCAAGAATTACTCAACGAAAATATTTTATTTTTAAATGACATCACTAAAATTGCAACACAGTTGTGGTTTTTACTTTCTCCCCCTATACCATAGTATATGGAGAAAGTATTGTTACAATTTGACATCATATTTTAAATAACGAAACTGAATATTGTAAAACTGCCTTGCAACAACTCGGGTACTGTGGTACTACCCGACAGTGTTCACTCTTTATTCAGTGGTTCCAATGGTAGGTGTTACTATAACTTTTATCCTTGCATAACTTAAGTTGCATTGCGCTAGTTAGCGCCGTGCAGCCGGTCACAGGCGCCGTGGTTTGGTTTGTTTTGCTCCAAAGTCCGAATTCGACGACTGTCCAGTCAGGAGGAGCAATATTGCTGAGTCTGTGATGTCAAATTTGAGGGCGTTCCTCCCAACATTAGCCAGTAGGTCTAGCGGCGCGCGTGCCCCATTATGTATTGGGGATAGAAATATATAACAAATTATTTGTAACAAATTAGGTTGGAATGAGGAAATGAAGCCATGAAGAGTCAGACTTGATTCTTGTTAATTTTTGTGCACGTCCCGGTGGTCAGGGCAAACCAAAAAATCGTATTTATGGTTGATTTATTTGTTTTTAAACCATTAAAGTTCACGTCATTAAGTTCACTTAGGTCTTTTTACCATGCAACGTTGACCTTTTGAAGGATAACATCACCGATAACACTCGGCTACTCGAACAATTGTGTAGTTTACATAAGTAAAGTTTCAAATATTCAGTATGTAGTCCGACTAATACAGAATATTAAAAAAATAAGCGAATTAACTCCCTGGCAAAATTGAGTGATTATATGTAGTTGAAAAATTCCCAAAAGTTATTTTATGTTTCACAACTGAGCAATTTTAATCTCTGATACACGCATTTAAATATAACTTCAACAGATGATTCATAACCCCAGGTATTGAAAGGAATGGTACTGGTACAAATTGAATTTTGTTAGGTACTGACCAAAAATCAAGTAGTTTAATCAGCGAGGCAATTACTCAATTTGCATTTCAACTTTTCGTATGGAAGTTTATCATCAAAGTAATACAAAAAATCGGTTGTGATACTTTTTTGCTGAACGTCACTAGCGTAACAAAACCCAAGTAGCCAACGATCAGTAAATTTGACTATCGCGTTATGCCTACAGGTAAACATTTTAATGAATATGAAATTGGTTTACAAACCCAAAGTAAAGAGTATAGCCTCGCAATTTTCAATAAATGACTTAAGCCAATACTAACACCAACATACCAATACAAACAGACGGATGAAATTATTTTTTTAACTTGTTGAAGTAAAAGAAAGATTATAAAAATTTACTGAATACAGGAGCAACAATAGCCTAAATAAAATATTAACTTATATTTGTGTTTTTTTTTTTTTTTTTTTCAAAGAAAGAGAAAGAAAGAGATCCGAAGACCTCAGGGTCGAGGGGGGGATATACGTAGATAACATCATCGTCTAATTACATTGATATGATCATAGGTTCAGATAACAATTTAAATAAATGTTCCTTAAAATAGCTTGACATTAAATCTTGTTTGTACTCGTCGTTTTTGGGCCTGATTTGAAATATCCTTTGCTCACGATGAGAAAAATTGTGATAATCATACTTTGGTTCACAATTTGTGCGCAGAAAAGTAGTGGTGCGAGCAGACCTTTCAGAACAGTGAAATATCGAGTTTCCATAAGTTTGTAACTGGAAATAATTACAGATCTGCTAAATAGAGAGAGGAATAAATTAGATTTTGTAATCTGCAATTTTGTAATCCTATTGTGAAATCTAAAGTTTGTTGTGTGCTTGTCCGGTTACGATTGTTAACAGGAATTTGTCTCTGATTTCAGGGTGATTATAAAATCTCTAGACTAGGTACAGAGAACAATAAATTATTTAAGATTGTGTTTTTAAGTTTTGGGACGCTTTATACATATCAGACGGAAATAGGCATAGAGTTGTCTACGGATTATGGATGATAACTTGGCGACTTTGGCGTGCGTTTAAAATTTGGTAACTGTTTGCTAAGTTTTCATAAACCTATTTAGCTATTTTGTCAGCAAAACTTGTTCTAAATAAACGTCGAAAACTTGCTTAGGGGACGCCAGCAGTTAATTGAACTGCACGTGATGTTTTTGCAAAATTTACCTGCTTTTTTAAACAATGCGTCGAAATAACATTATCTGCACAGCTGGGCACCTCGACTTGCTAAAATGCTGAACATGCTTCTCTATAAAGCTTAGTAAGCTAACTTGCTAATTCCAACGGAAGTCTGTAGGCTTGCTTTATTTTCCAAGTGTATTGTCAAATCGATCAACTCAGCTGTTTATATGTTCTGATTTAAATATCGTCTTTACCTCAGTATCGTTGGCAAAGTTCTGATATAATTTTGTTTCTTGTCGATATGCCCGACCGAACTTGCCGGTCGAACTTTCCGATAAGTTCCCAAAATGGGTTCCTTCTTGTTATGCTAGTATATGCATACGTAAAGTCTGCCCTACTCCTTTAATCTATGGTATAAACAACTAGACTACTGTTACTATTATTTATATGTGATGCAATATCTATTCCTCCGCTACTAGAATAAATTTATATTTTACTATTAAATATTATTCTACATTTTAATTTGTGTAAATATCGACAAAGGAATAGATTTGTAGTGAAATACCAATATAACACGATGGTAAACACAAATAAATGCTTAATTAGTTAATCGGGACATTTTTTCAGCAAAATCAGCGGATGAAACAACTATCCAAAAATATACAGCCGATTCTTTTTACCACTAGAAAAACTATTTTAGCCTAGCAACACTTTATTGAAAACATCCTGTTTTTGCCGCAGTATCAAAATGTCACTAACCGACCAATAGATCAGCTGTGTTCGCATCAGCTATGATCTTTCATGTTTCATTAATTAACCTGTGGAAATTAAATTACTGCGTTCGATTCACAATTGAAATAAAATATTCTATTGCGTTTCAAATCCTATTAACTTTCCATATATAGTTTACAATGTGCATTGATGCTATTAAATTACTGTTTTACATTGTCATACAATTATTCGCCAAAATTAAAATGTCTACCAGGTTATTAGTTGTCTATCGAAAATCGAAATCGATTAAATTTGTTTGATCAATCCCAACAAAGCTAATACAGATCTTAGTGAGGTTATTTCGGTAAAGTCAGATCAAGAAATTACCAGTTGTCTATCCAACCTTAAATGAATGTTAGATACTTCTAAGCAATAGGCTAGGTCCAAAACTAAAAATCACCAGTTGATATGTAAAATGTTCGAGAATTTATAGATTCTTAATATAAAATACCCCCGTCGCAGCAAACCTGACAACTAAGCGAATTTCCATTTGTCTGAATTGATTTTCAATTAAATATATTTACATAACATTATAGGTCGAGTACCTAGGTTTGCTGCTACAAGGAAACTAATAAAGTGTGTTTTTTAGTAAAATATTAATAGCTTAGTACAAAATAAATAAGTTTGCCAAGTTTGATCAAAATATATCCATAAACAACCAAACTACAACATTTTACAATATTCTCCATAAGAATAACATGGGAATTTTAAATTTACGTTTTTTTAAATTTTCTCCGTTACCAATAACCGTACAAAAATACTTTTGTATACTAAATTATTTGTTTTTTTAAGCTCTTTAAAAAGGTATAAAGAGAAATTGGGAAACTTTGTGTTTTGAGGGTCAAAAGTGAGAAAAACCAATTTTTACCCCATAAAACCCCCCGTAAATCCCTGTTCCCATGGTCCGATCATGCTGGTTCGCGAACTCATTCAAGTTTATCCCGCTTTACACCTTTAAACCAAATTTCATCAAAATCGGACAAAAATTACTCAAGTTATCGCGTTCACGGACACATATATATATATATAAATCTATATATATATATATATACATATATATATATATATATACATATATAAAAATTTGAACGAATGGTGTTTTTGGCCTCTGGGGACATCAAAATGAAAAAGTAAATCGCTCCCGGGCTTGGGTCTTACCATGCCACCTACGGTAATAGCTACTTCCCTATAGGGAAATTCGCTAAAAAAACCTTTGTAAAGCCTCAGAATATAGGAAGAGAAAGACAATCAGCTAACTAAATATCCGGCTACTTTCATGTAAAATATTCTTGAAAGTAAATTACAACCCTATAGCCTATCAAAACCATGGTAAATTTACAACTTTTACAAGTTTTAGCAGGTAAATATACATGTTAAACTTACTTGCATCAAACGTAGACACTGTTGACCCGGATATGTCCAAAATCACACCACCGTTGAGTAAAAAGGTATCCGGCATTGTGGAAGTACAAAAGATCACTCACAACCTACGTTAAGATACAACAAAAAAATAACCTCAAAATTGACTTGCACAAAACACTACAACTGGTTTGGAAAAGTACGCAAAGTCCAACAGCTGATTTGACTGATTTGAGATTTGAGCCAATTTGACACTGAGTGAATTTCGAGGGAAGGTTGGTAGGAGAAGGGGGAAGCGTTTCTATTGGTCAATATTATCGTGGTATTATCTATTGTTTGAGTCGTTTTCAGGAGATAAGCGGTTAGGATTTATTCTACAATCTGGTGTTTGATCAGAAATGGAATTTATTTTGTATTTGGTATTGTATTTTATCAAACGACTTTCTACTGTGTAGTCTAAGTTTCACTAATATCAACTGAAGAACATAATGACAATTAAAAAGTAGGTCTAATTATTATTTTTAATGTCATTTAATTGAATGGTGTTCGTAGTATCGTAGTATAGAATTTTAAAATCTCACAATATTTTATTTCCTCAAATTTCCAACACAAATCATGGTCACAAAAAAATTAACCTCGATAAAAATGTATAACTATTTTCTTAGCGATTTATTTAAATTGTTAATATTTCTAACCTTTCTTTCAACCTTAAAATATCCTATGACAGATTGGTGGTTTTACTGATGTTTATTTAGTTATGCATTTTACTCTCTGAGGGAGGTTTCTAGTAATGTTACTTTGTATAATCGTAGCTACAGAGTAAATATACTTATTCACAAATGCGTATGGATCAGTTGTAGACGATTTCAAGTAATCAAAAGTCTGGTTAGCTTGAGCGCATTGATATTATTTATTTTTAGGTTACTGTACTAACTCAAGAATTATTCCGACCAAAAAGAACAACGTCTTGTAAACTATTGCGTGTAGTTTTGTAATCAAATAGTGAGAAGTCTGCACTGTAAACTACATTCTAAATAAGAGAAAATGTCGAGAAAATCGACTTCAGCGCACTCAAGCGTTAACTTACATGAAACACACTTTAAAACAACTTCGAGATTATACAATAGAAAATAAAAATGTTCTTCTTACTGCATCCAAAATCTATGGTATAGCGGTTAGCGAATTGTACATATGCAATGCATGTCATATAGGCTGTTCTAGACGTGAATTTGACCACGTTTGCAACTACAGGCAATCATTAGATCAATATTAATTTTCTGTCATGTTGATGCTGGAAAGTTTTCTTCTTATCTAAAAATAGAAAGTAACATTTGGACGAGATAACAAATCCTTATATTTGTTGAACAACTTTGCGATCACGTTGTGAAGAGTAAATCCATGTACAAAAATAAACTCCATAAAAAACTGTGTAACGCTATGTCCATAGACCGTCAGCTGTGCTGCGGTTAACATAGGTTCTGGCGTTCACCACTGGGAGCGCCATGTTGTTATGGCATACGCGCTACGTAGCTACACGGCGCTCCCAGCGGTTGGTGCCAGAACCTATGGTGGGTCCAACCCTCTTAAGTTCTTTGTTAAATTTAGTAAACATTTTCAACAAATCTGTAATGAGACCTTTATAAGAGTACATGAAGTAGGCATGACAACAGGGTCACATATTTTCTGGCCAATTATTGTTGAATGTCTTTTCTTTACTGCTCAATTTAATTGGGTCTACAACTTGTTTTCGAGGCAAAATAAATCCATTGCAATGTCAATTTACCTTTTCAAGGAAAAGTTTACTTAGAACAGTTATTAAGTAATTAAAGTACTGATTAACAATGAATTTTCTGATTTCAATCTGCACTATAAAGAGTGATTTACCTACCTAAATCAGACCACAGTTGTAAAAAGAAGCCTATTTAATTAAAATACACGTTTATAAACTCTTGTTTACAACCTAACTGTGGTTAAACATTCAACTGAAGGAACAGCTGTAAAATTACAATTTTATTATACCCGTTACAAAGATAGTTGGTCAGCATAAATGGATGTTTGAAAATAGACTATTGAAATAAATTAAACGTGAGGGGCTCAAATTCCTAAAGGAAATTACCTTTTTACATACCACTAGTGGCTTGTAGGGACAATAGCCCCTATATATATATTCTATTAATTATTTTGTACATATTATTAGTCTCATGGGTTACCCTGCCTTGAATTATCGTTTAACATTTTTGTATATTATAATATGTATAATAGTTATTACATCCGTTACCTGTTACTTCTTTTTTTTTTATTCGAAAGTGATGCAAATGCCATAGCGCTATTGTACTGTCTTATATTTTTCACAAAATGGACATTTTTAAATAGGTCTTGCAGCTCATTGTTATTTTGAGGCTGTGGTAGGTGTATTAGGCCATTGTGGCAGCAAGAGTTGTAGTGTCCACTTGTCAATTCATCAATAAAGTGCAATGCACCACAATGAATGCACTCATCGTTCATTGGTCCTACGCTGTGTAATGCAATTTTATTTAAAAGTGGTAATCTATACACAGGAATAACTTCATGTTCATCTGGATGCTCATTTATTCGTCTTCCATTTATATCGCGCCAAATCTGGCGCCTGTTGTTCTCATTTCGAGGAACAATACCTCTGCGTGGCGGCCTACCCCTGCGTGGTAGTCTTCCAACATTATACATTATTACTGTGTAAAAGAACAATCTATTGTAAAGTATTAAGTTTAAAAGTGTCAAATTGTTTGTTTAAAAGATTTGATCTAGCCTAATTTTCACACTGTGTTGTTTACTACTTCACTAACATTTTTACAATAACAAAATAATACATTACTGTGTAAAAGAACAATCCATTGTAAAGTATTAAGTTTAAAAGTGTCAAATTGTTTGTTTAAAAGATTTGATCTAGCCTAATTTTCACTTTGTGTTGTTTACTACTTCACTAACTTTTACAATAACAAAATAATACACATTGAGGTGTGGTAATAATTCTTTCAATTTATATAATCACAGCTGTTTTTACACTAAAAGACATAAAATTGGGAAAATTCTATTTCAGATTTATTATAATAGTTTACTTATTACAGTACATATTACATACTACCTTTTGACTATTAATACAACTTCTGTAGCCAATAGTCAATGACATTACCATATGCTTTAAATAAAGTTAAACCAATCTGTTTTAAAGTAAACAAAGCAGACATGACCTAGATTACTATGCTATTTAAATGTGAATGTGAATTATTTTATTCTGTAACAACCTTTTGGTGCATAATTAAGAAAAATGACTATTTTTCCCCAAAATTTCATGCCCAGACCTTTAAAATGAGACCCCTCCCAGCTTTCTACGTCCTCCGGTTCGCTCACAATTTCATTGTAAAATTTTGGGCTTACAGAATTAGATATATAGATTTCCAGCTGCGCTATATCTAAGCTGTAACATGACATTAATCGTAGAAATCTGTTTCGTGTTTAGAAGGACGGCTGAAAAGGGATGTTAACCCCCTTATTGTATTAAGTGTATTGATATATTCTGTATTTTACATGTTACATTCTAGTATTCTACAAAATGTCGATCGAAATTTACTTTCGCATTTGCAAAAGGTTTGTCTTTGTTAAACAACGCATAACGAAGGAAATTTGACACAAATCAAATGAATGTACGAGGAGGACTATTTTTGTTGTTTACAATGTGAATAACAAGTGTTTTTCTTGGTTTTGCTTGAAATTGAGTTGAGCAAACTTCAGAGAACTAGCACTGACGTGTGTACTAAAGCCTCTGTCTTTTACCAAGTCTGACGAGTTTCCTTTTTAGAGAACTTGTAGAGGAAATATTTGTAATTAGACAGTAGCCACTGTGCTTTTGTCTTCAGTCTTTGGCTTAAAGCAGTCATCATTTTGAGCTGAGTGATTAGATTGTGGTTTTAAAAGAGTGTTATTACGTTACATACAGTTACATACACAATTTACAAGAACAAAAATAATAAACAAAGTAAACCAGCTAAGAGCAAAACAATTAAAAGGTGCTTATAAGCTTAGCGTTGTTATTTTGTCGCTGTGCATAGTAATGCAGTAGTAGGCCTATATACTTATTACGCTTTATAGTGTAAGAAAGTAAAAACTTGTTAACATTTCCCATATGGAACTATCATCCTATCAGTTGAAGGAAATTGTACAAGTATGTTTCTGTTAAGTTGGTAGAGAATTTTGTTTTTTACTATTTTATTTTTCGATCAACATAATATTTAACCAACTAATCAAACAAATTAATATCTTTGTAAAACATTGCTTGTAATCTAGTATGGACAACCCAAACAAAATGGTGAATCATACATTGTAAAATTTGCCATAAATTGAAGAGACAAACATTTAGTTGATTTCAGCCCTCTCAAATTGAACCCTAGTATTAAACACACTAAAAAAGAGAATAAACCGTTTAAAAACAAAATAAGTCTACTTGCAATATCTAAAATCAATAACTAATTTTTATACAATATTAATTAAACAGTTGATTAGATCAAATACCCCCACCGCTGCAAACTTGCTGATTAAACGAATTTCCATTGGCCTGATCGGATTTTCACTAAAATATTTCCTAAAATTGTTCACATTCCTCACATTTATTTCCTACTTAATTAAATAACACTAGGTTTTTAGGTTTGCTGCTACAGGAAAAATATAGTAAAGTTTGTTTTTTAGTGAAATGTGAAATGTTGGGTGTAGTTTAGTATGAAATAAATACTTTTGCCAAATTTGACCAACATGAATTCATATACTAGCAAACCACAACAGTTGACTTACACTTACTTTCATAAACTGCACACTGGTATGTCGGCGGCTATAGTTAATCAATATAATGTAATGAATGTAATCATCCTACTAATACAATGTAAAACACGTATGTGAATGACAACGATTCAGTAATAGAAACAGCTGATTGCATGTGACCATGATGGAGGACGCAACAAAGAAAACTGCCACTTACTTGCAGTTGCTGTTGAAATAGTGGAGAATAGTATAAAACTAAAATATAATCAAATACGTTAAAACACTCCTTCATTGTCATTATTATTATCAATTGAGATGGGGACGCCCCCTACGTGCTTATTTTAACCCAAAAATGAGTGTAGAATGGTGAGAGATGATCTGTATAATAGCTTTGTTACTGACTAAGATCAGCTGTTTCGTTAGTCATGATT